AGTAAATGCTCAATATATACACACCTCATTAAAATTTCATCTTCCCTTAACTGAATAAGTTTTTATTGAAAAAATAAGCAAGTCTTTAATTATAAAAGTTCCTTCATTTCATACATTTTCCAACGCACAGAACTGCAATTATATATTACACGAAAGTATTATATATTCTGTATCATCTGCTCAATAGAATCTAATTCCCAGAAATTATCTATCAATTACAGTGTCTAATCCTGGTTAATTTCCAAATAATAGGGGCTGAGTAGAATAGTAAATTGTATTGAGGAATCTACTTCATGATACAACCATAAATTTATAATAACTTAAGTACATATCGTTTCTTCGTAAAACTATTTCCCATGTATAATAATGCATTAATAAAATACCATCGTTTACAACAAGCAATGTTTTAAAATTCTACAGCTTAAAATTCCACAACTTCCTATATATAAAACAAAAAGTTGATAATGTAGCAAACATTAGTAGCATTCTTCATAATAAATTTCTAATAGAATTTAAATATCAGTCACGAAATATAAAATCACGTGGGGGAGGAGTAGGTCTAGTAAGATATCACGTTTATTTATTCCTTACCTGAGTTTAAAAAAAAAAACAAGATTAAAAAAAATATAAAAGTTAACGTTTTTTCTAGATACCAAAAAAAATATAAGCAATGTTGGGAGGGGGGAGAAGTAATTTTAAATATCACTACGTATCCACCAAGGGAGGAGGAGGGGTCCAAAAATCACCCCCTGGGTAACTTACTTTCAAATTGATATTAACCAAAGTATTTAGTATCGTTTAGATACCAATTTTAATTAGAACTGAAAATATTTTTCTAATTTAACGGAGAAGATAATTTATTCGATGTGAAAATCGATTATTTGATAGTGATGATCAATCGCACAGAACTATCACATTGTATGATAACTGCGTTAGCTTAGGAAACTGATCAATGTCACAAAAAAAAGCGAATGATATTGCAAAATGTATAATAATATATTATGGCAATAATTTAATTTAATATATAAAATGCCACTAAATAATTCTATTGCGGTTTTAAAAATACCATTCGAACTAATTTTGCAAATAATATCGTAAAATCAATATTTTTCCAGGTATCGACACCATTTGCTCAAGTTGGAAAATAATGTAGCGGTTTGCTAGAAAATCGCATAAAATATTAAACGAAGAAGTCGTGCGTCAGAAAATAAATTACAGGTTAGAGTTTCATCATCGGAGAGCGGGTGAACTAAACGTGGAGAGAACAGTTGGATAACAAAGCCGTAAGGGGTGGCGAAGGCACGCCACTGCTCAATAGAGGTCTTATGTCAAAACTATTACAGTAACGAAACTTGAATTATTAAAAACCACTGTGGGGTACAAATAATACGATGAATAGAAAGTCATGCAATGAATTATTTTTTTATCGAAAAGCCTATATAAATATAGATTTTATTCTTAGCGCTACAAACATATTTGCTCTTCAAAATTATTATTTTTCTTCCATTTATCCATAAGAGCAACCATTTAATATGCATATGGCAAAGTTTGGACTTAGAAAAATGTCACACCAAGAATTTACAATGTTCAAAATCATTTAATATGGGCTGTCCGTCCCCTTCTTGAGGAAATATTAAGGGGGTATTCTAGTGTAAAGCGATGTATTTTAGGTCATTTTTAAAGTGTCGTAAAAGAAAGCAATAAATGTTTTTACTATCCACTTTTTTACCTCTTGTTTATTAATATTATTAAAATACAAAACAAAAATTAAAAAATAAAAAAGTTGAAAATTGTAAAAACTGGTAGCTGATGAAGTGGGTGGTCTCAAAAAATTGGCACCTCAGTCTTGACATGATTTCAGCCCTCCTAACCACACGAAATAAAAGAAACAAAAAGATTATGAATCTACAATGATATCGCAATAGTCCGAACTAGCGATGAGTAAAAAAATGTTTTTTTACAAATTGGCGACTGTTTTAGAAAAAAGTGCTTTTTTACTGGTTTTTTGAGTTTCTAGAATTTTTTAAAAATAGTAAAAATTGGAATTTGGAGATAATCCTAGTTCGGGCTATAGATAGGTCTATAAACAAGACTCTTTGAACATTTCAAGTGAATCGGTCGAGTAGAACTCGAGAAATCGTGTCAACAGTACTGAAAAAGTCTGTTCTGAGAAAAACGCATTTAAAGTTTTGCGTGAAGCCAAACCAGTATGGAGACCGAGTCAGTAAAATACCTATATCTCCGAAAATAATTCAAATTTTCAAAAACCTTCTCGTACCCATATTCTTAGATAGTAAAACTTTGAAAATATGAAATAAAAAAAATCGATTTTTTTTATTTGAATTTCCTGCAATCATTGGCCACAAAGTGAATTATTTCAATTTTATATTAATTAAATGAAAGAATAGATGTATAATTTACTTTTTAACTGTTATCAATAGTTCGCAAAAAAGAAAACATCCCCATATCCCCGAAACTTTGAATAAAATAAATTAAGAAAATTTTAAATATATATATATTTTTTAAACCTCTTACTTACAAAGTTTGAAAATAATACTAGCTAACCAGAATACGCCGAATTAATAAATAACAATAAAATTATTTTTGGTACTAGATAAAATTATTTTAGGGAACTAGATGTGTGTGAGAAAGTATTAAGTAATTACTTAATTAAATACGATTGTCAGAAAATTAAAAATTTAGTGATGATCCAGTATTGACTTAATTTTTATATTTTGAAGATTTTCTCCTGCTGAATTGTGGCACTCATCTAGTGTGGAAAATAATACTAACAAATAATTATATTTATTATTTTTATTTATCGCATTGACTGCATAAATTTGAATAATTTATATATCATCATTGATGTTATGCCCGATTACTAGACCTTATTAATACATATGTCAGCATCAAGTTCAGAATCATACAATATATACATATATATATATATATATATATATATATATATATATATATAATTTCATAACACTTGTCTCACTGTATGTGAGCAATAGTTTTTTTTATAAAAATATTACAACACATTAGTGATATGTTAGGCTTGTGAAATGTTGATAGTCAATAATGAGATAACATCTGGAATAAATAATTTTTAATGAACAGTAAAATGAGCGTATGTAATATTATTTACATCCAGTTTGGAGTAGTAAAAACAATTTAGTTAGAGAGATTATCTAATAAATCATATTTATTTTAGACTTCCGGTCCCAAAAAAATCAAATAAATATTAAATCATATACTGAACAAATATTGCATCGAACATGTAAAACTTCGAAATATTCGTAATAAAATGGATTATATACCCCGAACATAAAAAATCGACATTAATAACAGATAGGTAAGTTGTCTTCAATTTTCTCCTTCCACTAATGTGGGCTAGTTTGTGGGGCGAAATGGTCACTGCCTGTCCGAACACAATGGTTTGAATAAGAACACAACCGTAAACAAATGATCGCCTTGGTAACGAGCGCGTGTTTGTGGTTACCTATCACAGGATCCCCCCACTTCAACCCCGCGGAGTCGTAAAAACGCAGACTGACCATCCTCCACCCAATAAACCACAAAGGGTTGAACAGAAAATTGTCGAACAAAAACCCAATAGATAGATAAATTAGGCGCAGAAAATACTTTTTAAATATTATGAAAGCGGTTTTAGGGAAAAGTTAATATTGAAAGTAATAAATGAATTGACTGATTATGTTTTAGGAAGGATATTTTATAGAAACAGTAATATTGGTGAGAATATAGGAAACCAAAAGACTTCATATATAATTATTGTGAAGGATTGATTTAGGATTTTAACGGATATGATTAAGGATATAACCAAAACCCGAATATAAAGAAAAACACCAAGATTAATAATAAGAAATAATATAAATCTTTACATATCGGCAAAAATGTAAATGCCTGAATATGCATTAATGCATAAACCTTAAGAGATTTTGATCAGGCTCCCATAATAAGTTTTTGATAATAAAATTAGAAAAATAATATAGAAAAAATTAAAACTATTCAATAAACCCCTACGTATGCCTAAGAGAAAATAAAGATCAATACTTTGCGACATGAATATAACAAAAATCGCAAAAATTTTGACATGATATAGATTATTATATGAATTACATTACTACGTATTAACTACGTATTTAACCAAAACTTATTTATATACAACACCAACTCATTTTGAAAATATTTACTAAATCCTTTCAACAATACCAAATGATCCAACATCCAACTAGAATTAATTCATACATTCAAGTTAAATTGTTTTGTCGGTCTCAAAATAAAATTACTACAATAGAACACGAATCAAGTGAATCCATTTTAATATTTGAGCATCGACCAAAAAATTTATTCTAACCTTACACATCAATTTCAAACAAAATTTAATATTTGTTAATTAAGGTACATTCAAGGTATTAACAATATTGCAATATTGAATATTATTATTAGCATGTGTGATTATTTAGAAAAATATACTTAAAATCTAGGAAGTATTAAAATACCGGCTCAGTATTGTATTAGCTTAGGGCAAAAGATAAAGTAAAAACAAAAGAAGCATTTATAGCAGATGGCGTATTAATAATACTTATATAGATATACTTACGCAGTTATAATTTGTTCACTTTTTGTTTTTAACTCACTACAATTTACTTTAAATGAAAAAAACGCTAATTCACTGTATTAATTGACTATCGTTCGATAACACTCAAAATGGCGTCCTCCATAAGTGTCCTTTCTTGTGTATGAAGTCTGAACTTGTACATCAATGCAAGAGAAGACACCAACTAAAAATAACGAATATAAATCGAAATTTGCGAAATTAAAAATTCGTGATGATCAGATAAGTTACAATATTTTGTAATTCTTTTAAATTAAATATCCAAAGTTTTAATATTATAAAATTGAAAAAAAAACACATGGAGAATTTGGATAAACAAATTTTTGAACATGAAAAGAAATTATATATTTTGAAAGAACAGTATAGAAATTTTGATTGTGACAAATTAAAAAAACAGCTGCAAGTAATCTATTTTTCCTTATATATTAAATCTATTTTACATATTACATTGATTTTTAACTTATTTTAAAATAGTTTTGCTTTCGGAGTTTTTAAGGAAACATCCATCATACAATTATCATTTGAAACCGCTTATAGACAATTTGGTTTTATTATTTAAAGATTATATATTGCTATATTATGTGTTTACAATTTACATAAAGCATTTTTCTGTTTTTCAAAGTTTTATTATAAATACATTAACACAAAAATCATTTAAATATAATAACCAATAATAATTCTCTAATGTTTTGTTTCTCGAAGTACCACATAAAATTGAAGTAATAGAATGTTTTTATCAATAGGATATAAAATTGCAAAAACATAAACTCAAGTATATGACAATGAAACTACAACTAGCGGCAACAATGGAAGAAGAAAAAAACACGAGTAATGAAATTAAACAAAAAATTCTTAAAGAATCATTTGATGAGTACACAAATAAAGCAAAAGGTATAATGTTAAAACTTGTATAAAACCATTACAGTAGTTTAATATAAACTGCATCAAATAGAATGTTCTTCAAGATTAAAAACGGATATAATAGAAAAGCGAGGTAAAGAAAAGCTATCAGAGATTAATAAGGATAATGCAGATCTGAAGTTGAAACTACAGGCAGCAACAGACTCAAAAGACAATATGAATTTGAAACTATGTCAAATGGAAAGTAATCACACTATATTACAGGTAAATGTTTAAATTTGAAATAATATCAAATCTTTATAAAAGCACTTCTTTATAATGTTGATAAATTTTAGAATAGAAATGCTGCAATACTTATTCGTCTTCGAAAAAGTCTACATGATGCTGAATGTGAAAGAAGAGCAATAAAAGAAAAATTATACAGTCTGAAACTGTCAAAATAAAATAATTTAAATTTATTATACTTATATTCATATTCGTGTTTTTTCTATATGACACTTAACTGTTTCGTTTAGTGCATTAAGTTTCAAAGTCTGAATTTGTATCCGTTTCTGAACATCATCTAATTTTTGACATAGTTGTGTCACCTTGCTTTCTGTACTTTTAGTATCTTTCAATTTTTTCATCAGTTCATTTTCCAAAAACGATTTATATAACAGTTTATAATTAGTTGATTTATTTAGCAATTGTTGTTTAATATCTCCACACTTAGGCCTCCTGCAAAAATCATATTGGGTGCTATAATTTGATATTATTTCCAGTACCAAATCTTTGAATGGTATCGCAGAATAAACCATTTTCATTAAATCTTTACTTTATTTTATATAAATAAAACTTTTGGACTAACCATAAAACAGTGCTATTTGTGTATGTAGTCTTTTGAATTATATTTCCTAAAATAGCTATTTTTTTGTGAATACGATCTTGCTTCCAAGCTGCTTTCAAATCATAGCTGATGTTAACATACATATTTTCAGCAATCTCATTTGCCAAGTCATTTCTTGAATTGCTATCTTCAATGAATTTGCCACATTCTATAAATTTTATTCTGCAATATTTTATTAACTTAGTTTAATACAAATAAAAGAGGAAAACAATGTGAAATTATCTTTTACCTATAAGCTTCAGTGTATAATTTTACTATTTTCAATAACTCTGTGAGCTCATTTAATTTATTAATCGATTCTGTGTTAGAAAGCGTGGCAGTAATGCCAGTGTCATTTGTATCACCCATTATTACTTTTTATGAAACTTTTAGCTGATCATGAAGTAAAAATCTGTTTAACTGTCAAAAATGGTCTCAAACAAACAGAAGCAAGTTATCCATAGCTAAATCTTTCATAGATGAGCTTTGTATCGAAATTAGTTTGAAATAAATAAGACTGAATAAATTAAAACTCTCTAAAATGAATATAAATATTATAAATATTTTAATTACTAACAACTGAACTAAAAATCGATTTCTTTCTTTCTGGATCTTTTTAATAATCATATCGCCGGTTGTGGCAGCACTGATTATTTAAAAATTATATTTTTCTAATTATGGCAGAAAGCATATGTCAATTGTTGTATTAATTGGTTTTATCTATGTTGCTATGTGTCGTGTTTTTTGTGCTACGTTGAAAAACAATTTTATTTATATTCATAGCAATAAATTTTATGTCTAAGCACATTTTAAAATTGTTTGACTAGTTTGAAGAATCAAAATGTATCACCTTTTATATACAATAACCAACTAGAAATTTTATTTTGTTGTATTATTTCAAATATGAAACTATATTTATTGTTCTGCAATGAAACAAAGGCAAATGTAAATATATAAATGGTAGTTACCATAAACCTATTACAACTAACTTATATTTTTATTTGATATTTCAGTGTTTCTTTTAACAACATGAATAACTGCCAGTACTCTGATTGGGAAGATAACATAGTTGATAGTGTCCCTTTGCTACCAGTTCGTAATTCCTATGTTCCTACAGAAAGATCTTCTCCAAGTCGAAGAAATGTTGTAAGCAGCTATCGGCATGAGCAGTCCCATAACATCAACACACATACAGTGCAAAGGCCTGTCCTTGAAGCTCAAGTCCAAGAAACAGACACTTTACAAGCCATTGCTCTTAGATTTCATTGTTCGGTGAGTTACATTATTAAATAATTTGTTATAATATGCATACACATCATTCAATATGTATAAATTTGAATATATTTTTTGATTTTATTTATATCACAAATATGTTCTGTAAATTGTTGACTTGAAAATGTGTAATTATTTCTTGGTTTGCATGTGGGCAACAGCAACAATATGTTCAGTTGGTTCTATATAAACTTTCTAAAACAACATACTGCCCCTTTCCATAATAATGTTATCAGTTAACACATTTTTATGTTTATAGGTTGAAGAGCTGAAAAGGTTGAATAACATACATAGAGAAAATGAAATATTTGCCCGGTCTATATTGAAAATACCTATAACACCTCATACAATATTGTTAGGCAGCTTTCCACAGGTACATCAATCTAGCGGCAATAGTTCACCAAAATCAACTAGTGTTTTAAACAGCCATGAAAATTTACTATTGAATCCTCAAGAATTAAATGATAGATTATTAGTTGCACAGGCACCTGCAGATACATCTAGCAATAATGAAGCTAAGAATGGCAATGTTATAACTGTAAATGAAGTCATTTTTAATAGTGAAGTGGTTCCAAATGATCTGAGATCTAGTGATGGGAATGAACAATTGTCGGAACATCAAAATGTTAAAACGTTTCATTCATTTTTGAACTTAAATGGAATTGATTGTGGTATAAAATGGTATCACCTAATTCTTGTTGTATTGTTAATAGTTTCTATATCAATATATAATTTTTATAAGGCAAAGATATTCCTTGACAAGCATCATACTTCATAGGATTATGAAGTATTAGATATTCATTACTTTTGAATATTCTATTTAATATGAAATAATAAATTGATTCAAGTTATATTTACGTGAAACGAATGAATTGTTTCAATGAAATATTATTTTAATTAAAAGTCTAAATATGAAATGACACATATATAATTCTTCAAGTTAGTTTGCCAAACTTGTTATTTCTCAACAATAGTATAATATGATTAAACTAGTCTATTTGTTATGAATTGAATTCATTAATTTACTATATGGCGCTAATGCTAAACATGTGATTACCTTTAGCAAAGTTTTGTACGTAATGATAAAATAGATATTTTTATACAAAATTTAAGAATAATGTTGTGATAGATATATATGAATTATTGATATTCTAAATATTTGAAGTTCCGCATTATAATAAATAATTATTAGTTATGTACACTATCTAAAGAAAATAAATGAAGTATTTACATAAATGTAGTTTAATGTATCGAATGTTTGTAACATAATTTAAAAACTTGTAAATTTATTTAAAAAAAACTTGCATAAAGCAAATTACTTTATATTTGGACATATACAATGTGATTTGACACATTTCGAACTATTTTTTATTACTATTGGAAGGCGTAATTGACTCAAGTTCACTTTTCTACTTTCTGACGCATTATACATATGTGTATATGCATTTAACATTTAACAAAGAAAAGTTCTTAGATAATATCTACTTTCTGACGCATATACATATGTGTATATGCATTTAACATTTAACAAAGAAAAGTCCTTAGATAATATAGTAAGTAATTTATTTACATAGAAAAATACATTACCATGGCACTGGAAGTTACTATAATATGACAAATCTTACAAACTAAATAAATATATTTAAATCAACAAGTATTTAGTGAATAATACCTTATCTAAACACAAACAAAAAGTGAATATATTTGTTGCTTAATTTTTTTTAAAATTAGTATCAAATTCACAAAAGAATATGAAATTAAAATATTCCTTAAGTTATCCTGAAGAAGTTTGAAATATCAATTTATAGGCACGGAAGATAAAACCATCTCAAAACATCTTTTGTTTGTATACAAACTTAACAACCTTCAATAAATTCTTATTCTGGGGGTGGTGATGTTATTAATCTTTTGAATAGAAGAATATGTGGCTCAGGCTGATGTGTCATGTAATGAACCCATCCTTTAGATTGTTGTACACCAATGCTACGCCATTCTTGCTCACTCATAAGGTGAGTTTTAGGCACTAGTTTTTCCAATTCTTTTGGTAGCACTACGTGTCTGAAAATAAACAAAAATAACTTGCAAATTATCTGATTTTCAATTTGTACAATAATGCTTTTACAAAATACAAATATACTATTCGATGTAAACGTCAAAATTGGGAAAATAATACAAGTCGGCTTAGACTCACCTATATTCATATTTATCATCATAATACTTGTCCGAATAATATATATTTTTATGAGCCATGGTTACAGGAAAAATATATTTTTGTTTAATCTAGATATATATTCCTAAAATCCAACTAAAATAATAATAAATGCAACAAAATCGCCGAACGATTCGTTATGATGGATTCAACAAGTTTAACGGTCATGCAGGAAACCTAATAAAGTGAAAACTACTAGAAACTCTAGAACTAGAAATGTTTAAATATTATTTTAAAATGTATTATTATTTATTTTATTATTTTTACTATTATTTGCTTCTTTAAATCTTAAAAACAACTCACAAATAAAATATTTAATTATTTAATAAAATAAACTGCATTCAGTTGGTAAGAGTGTATTTGTATAAATCGTCAGGATAGTATTTTGACAGGCGAATAATATTTATTTATTAAATTAATGATGCAAGACGATTCAAATAGTGAGTCCACTTTTGAATTTGTTGATGATAAAAAGACTGATGATACATTAAAGTCAGGTATGATTCCTGACATGGTATTCGCATGCATCACAACTTAGAAAAGTTTTGATGATGTCGACAATTTTTTTTCAATTTCAGGAGACGCATTCAGTAGTTTGTCTTCTTCATCTTCTTTACTTGGATTACCCATGATGTCAACAGATTCATCTTTAACACCTTCCCCTGTCTTTGTAAATTCCAATTCAAACATTTTATCAGCTGTTGCTCCACCATCTGCACTGCCAAATTTCATAGCAACCCAACCAAGCTCAATTCCAACAACAGAAAATGTTCCTTCTACTGCAGCAACTAAAAATGATAAGCAGAGTTCAACGACATTTAGGTTCGATACATTTTAATAGCCAGGTTATCAATTAGTTCTATAGAATAACGGCTAATAAGAACCCATATATGTTTCTTCAAACAAGTACATTTTATTTTTAAACAACAATTTGAAGATTGTTTTCAACATCTTAGTAAACTTTGAGTAAAATGGATTATATAAAATTTACAGTGCTGCTATACCATCAAGTGAACCAGTTAAAAATAAGCTAGAATCTCAAGATTCAAGTGACAACAGCTACTCAAATAGCTTAATGCCTGGATCGGGTTTTAGGATGGGTGGTGAAAGGAGCTGTTTCTACTGGAGGAATTTTGCATAGAGTGCAGAGAAAAAGGCAAAAAACTCAGTTGATACTATGATAACAACCTTGGATCCACAAATGAGGGAATTCATATGTAATTACCGAAATATGTTACTTATTGCTTTTGTAATAATTTTATATCTAACTTTGTTTATAGATTCTGGTGGTGATTTGGAATTAGTTGTTGCATCTGATAAAGAAGTAAAAATTTCTCCAATTAGAGAAGCATTTCAGATGACCTTTGGTAAAGAAGTACTGTAAGGTGTGCACTTTTGA